CGAGTCCCGCATCGGGCTCCCTGCTCGGCGGGGAGTCTGCTTCTCCCTCTCCCGCTCCCCCCTCTTGTGCTCTCTCTCTCACTCTCTCTCTCAAATAAAAAAAAAAAAAAATCTTAAAAAAAAAAAAAGAATTCCCATCCTCTAAGATAAATAATGTATATTTACATTTTTAAATGACCATTTTTTAGACTAGTGCCTGAGGAAGCTGTTTTGCTGAGCTATGTGCTGGTAGCATCTTCATTATTGGGGAATGGCTTGATTTAAGATTTATTAACTTGTTTGTAGGCTACCAAAATAGGCAGTTTATAGCTATAAGGTACTCTTAGTATTTTTTTTAAAGATTTTATTTATTTATTTGATAGACAGTGAGAGAGGGAACACAAGCAGGGGGAGTGGCAGAGGGAGAAGCAGGCTTCCCGCAGAGCAGGGAGCCCGTTGTGGGGCTCAATCCCAGAACCCTGGGATCATGACCTGAGCCAAAGGCAGATGCTTAACGACTGAGCCACCCAGGCGCCCCAGGTACTCTTAGTATTATACATTAAGGTTCTTGTAATACATATTTTTTGCATATCAACCCTATTTCTGTAGGAGGAATCTGGGAAATAAATCCATCAGTTCTTAATATTCTTATGGTATAAATGATAACTTTTAGGATCTCAAAAGTAGTAAAATACCATATCACCCAGTCAGCCATGTAATGTGTGGTCTATTACACGATTGATTCATATTTGGTATCCTTACCATTATCAGATTTGGCAAACATATCTTAATATTTTTATCTGTATGATTTTAACATCTTAAAAATAATCATAATTGTTATTTGTTGAGTGTTTGCTGTATACCAGATTCTGTTCTAAGCACTTTTGTGTATAGTAGCTCATTTTTCCTCACAACAACCGTGTGTTAGTCACTGTTATTATCCTTGTTTTATTGATGAGGAAACTGCAGTACAGAGAGGTTGAAGTAGCCCAAAATATTTCCCAGTAGTTAGAGGAAGAGCTGGGTATTAAATCCTGGTTCTCTGAGTCTTACCCAATACTTTGTTCTTAAGTAGTTCAGGGTCCATTGCCCTGTTTTTATTTAAAATGTTTAAACCCCAAGGTGCCTGGCTGGCTTAGTCAGAAGAGCATGCAACTCTTGATCTCATGGTCATGAGTTTGAGACCCACATGGCATGTAGAGATGACTTAAATAAGTTTTAAAAACTTAAAAAAATGTTTAAATCCCTCTACTATGAAACATAACACAGAAAAGGGCATAAAACAGAAATGTTTAGCCTTCTAAATTATTATCATTCATAACCACCACAAAGGTAATAAAAGCCAATATTTGTTAGCATCCCAGAAGCCCTTACATGGCCTTTTGTTTTAACATTTTAATATGTAAGTATGGAAACATGAACACTATAGTTTTGTTTGTTTTTAAACTTTAAATAAATAGAATCACATGGTGTATACTCTTTTGTGGCTGGCTTCTTTTGTTCACTATTATTTGTTTTTTAATCATCTACTTTACAATAAGTCTGGAAATGGGTAGTTCAGAAGTTAATGTAAGGGCTTTTGTCAGCCTTTTCACAATTTTTTTTCTTTTTTTGGCTTTCCCTATGTGGTTGCAAGAGGGCTGCCACAATTCCAGACCTCATATTTTCACACAGTCATTTCCCAAGAGAAGAAGCAGTGGCAATTATAGCAGCAAAGCTTATTTAATACCATCAAGAATGCTAGAAGAGAAATTGAGTGTTTTTCCTTTATCTTGACCTATCCTGACTTCTTTTTCTCTTGTCCAGTCATCCAGAAATAAATTGGCTACTTTGCCACTTTTGAATATGAGGAGGCTGGGTCCCAGAATGTTTAAAAGATGTTATGAGGGTAACGCTGAGTCATGACCAAAATATGATCTTTTTTTTTTTTAATTTTAATTATTTTTTTTTAGGGAAGGAGAGAGAGCAAGAGAGCAAGGGGGCAGGGGAGGGGCAGAGGGAGATGGAGAGAGAGAATCTTAAGCAGGCTCTACACATAGTACAGAGCCAATGCAGGGCTTGATCCCATGACCCTGAGATCATGACCTGAGCCGAAACCAAGAGTCAGATGCTCAACCGACTGAGCTACCTGGGCACCCCCAGAATACTATCTTCTATCTCATGAGCTGGTATTTTTTCTTTCTTTCATCATGAGGTCCTTTTTGTGGCTGAAGAAATTAAGCATGCAGTTGAGTGCATAGTGGACACTGAATGAATTTTCTTCACCGACATGTCTGCAGCTGGAGACCTAGTGTGTCTGACACACAAGATGTTGTATCCACTCAGTGGTCTGGCTGGCTGTAGAAGCCAGTACCTTGTCAGTGTTATATCTTTGTGCTTTTGCACAGTAAAAACCTACATTTTATTCTCACTAAAGTTCTGTGATAGTGCTTGCTTAGTGAAACTATTTAAGAGATCAGAAATCAGTGGAATAGTATTTTGACAGGATAATGGTCTCTTGGGGTATTATAAATTCATAATGCCTACACATTTAATTTTCAGAGCTGGCGGCTATTATCTAGTGGCAGTGTTCTGGTCTGACTACTTTATTTCCAATATGCAAAATGATAAAACTGAATTAGTGGACACTTGAACCTGCCTTTGGAGAGATACCTGGTAGCTACAGCATTATTTATTCTTATAAAACAAAGTACTTCTATTTTAAAAAGACATCTAGTAAAGAGAGATACCTAATATTCCTTTCCCAATTTTGTCATATTGTAGACTTAAGGTCAAAACTTAGGAAACCTGTGAAAAGTATGATTCCTATATTTGTGATAGAGATAAATGTGTCCCTTTGCTTTCAGGAGGGCATGACTTCAGAATATTTCCTTTTGAATATTAAATAAAACAATGTTGGCCAGTGCTTAAGAAATTAAGATAGGCTACCTTTTGGCAATTGTGATCCAGTATTATGAATAGTGATGAACATTTGTGTTTTCATTAAAATTAATTGCCTTATTAACCTATGTGTTATATCTTAGTATGTCATGGTGCTAATTGTGTTTGCTAATACGGGTAGGATTTAACTTAAGTAACTTTTCTTAGTTTTTAAAAATAAACTACTCTGACAAAATACAAAGAAAAAATATAAAAGCAAAATTAGCTTTCTTCAATGCATATTAAAATATGATTCTGATATGTGGGTCAATATTAAAACAAGGTTCCAAAAATGCATCTGCATTAATAACTGAAATATTTATATTTTCTGTTTAAACATTTTTATTATTTATTTTTATACTTTAGGTTTGCCATCAGAAAGATAATGCTCTTGGAATTTAGGTGAGTTAAAACGCTTTACTTTGATGAAGTTAAAGATGGTGTCAGATCTGTATTGTCAGTATACCATAGAGATACCTGTATCATGTCTTTTTAATTCTAGTATAGTTAACGTACAGTGTTATATTAGGTTCATATGCGATATAGTGATTCAGCAACTCCATACATCATTCGGTGCTCGTCTTGACAAGTGCACTCCTAAAAACCCATCACTTATTTCACCCATCCCCCACCCACCTACCTGTATCATCTTGAGCAAATCATCTATTCTCATAGCCTCAGTTCCACATCTGAAAATGTTAAGAATGGGTTTGGCGTTTACTATGTATTCAGATAACACCCAAGATAAAACATTACTATTAAAACCTGTGACAAGGGGCGCCTGGGTAGCTCAGTTGGTTGAGTGGCTGCCTTCGGCTCAGGTCATGATCCTGGAGTCCCGGGATCGAGTCCCACATCGGGCTCCCTGCTTAGCAGGGAGTCTGCTTCTCCCCCTGACCTTACCCCCTCTCATGCTCTCTCTCTCTATCTCATTCTCTCTCTCAAATAAATAACTAAAATCTTTAAAACAAAAAAAAACAAAACAAAAAAAACTGTGACAAGCCAGTGATATCTCTGAGGCATCCAGCAGAAACAAATATAAGATACTCTGGAAGGATATGTATTCCAATTGCATTACAGATAAATTCCTATAGAACCCTGGCAAAGGTGAGTTCAGATTCCCTAATTACGAAGCATGTTAGGATAATAACTGTAAGAAGAGTCAGTTGAAATGACAACAGAATTAGATCCCCACCCCACCCACCCAGGACCTTAGGTAATTAAATAATTGATATATACTGTCAAATCATTATGTTTAAAGTTATGAGTATAAAAGAAGAAATTGTGTGAACATGGAACAAGACACTAAAAATGGATAGATTTGGGGAAAACAAATAAAAATTATTGAAATTTAAAAACTCAGTGGACAAATTAAATACAGGCACCTTGGAGATATTGCAGGTTCAGTTCCAGACCACTGCAAAAAAGCAAGTCAAATGTATTTTTTGGTTTTCTAGTGCATATAAAAGTTGTGTTTATACTATACTTTAGTCTGTTAAGTGTGCAACAACGTTATGTCTAAAAAAAAATCTATATGCCTTAATTTAAAAATACCTTATTGCTGAAAAATGCTAACCAGCATCTGAGCTTTCAACAAGTTGTGATCATAAATCATGAATTACCATAACAAATATAATAATAATCAAAAAGTTTGAAATATTCTTCTTGCCAAATTCTTTGGTAATTCTTATTACCAAAATGTGACAGACATACAGTTAGCAAATACTGTTGGGAAAAAATGGTGCTAATAGACTTGGTCAATGCACCACAATGCTTTGAAACTAGAACT